GTGATCCTCGCCGTGACCTCGGCGGCCGGCTCCCCGGCCCCCGGCTCGCGCATCAGCCACACCGACAGCAGCTCCGATCTCTCGGACTGCCCCTCCGAACCCCTGTCGGACGAGCAGCGCCTGCTCCCCGCCGCCAGCAGCGACGCCGAGTCTGGCACTGGCTCCAGCGACCGGGAACCCCTGCGAGGAGCCCCCACGACGAGTCCCGCAGCTCGGGGGGCGCCTCCGGGCAGCCCCGAGCCCCCCGCCCTCCTCGCCGCGCCCCCCGCCGCCGGCGTCTGCCTCGGGGGTCGGGGCAGCCCGGGCGGGGTCCCCGCGGGGTCCCCGGGGCCCGGCGTGGCGGAGGATGCCGGGGGACGCCTGCCGCTGGAGCGAACGGTCCCCGGGACCCCCAAGGAGGCCGGCGCGGGCGAGCAGCCCCGGCTAGTACCGGCGGTGGAGGAGGAGGAGCTGCTTCGAGAGATGGAGGAGCTGCGCTCGGAGAACGACTATCTCAAGGTGAGCAGTCGGCTCTGCCGCAGGTGTCCCGGAGGGTCTGGGTGCGCGCAGGGGCCCGCCTTTGGGGTCCTGACAAGGACTTTCTCCCTTCTGCCCTTCACTTTACTGCCGCCGCACACGCTGGGCATTGGGAACTTAAGTCAAAACTTCTAGAAGGAGCACCAAGATCTGTGAGTCCGGGCCAGTTCTCAACCCAATTAGCTTTTCTTGTTTCTAGAAGTCTTGCTTTTCTCAGCTGATGCCTTTGCCCCTGTCGATGTGCTGGGGAAGGGGTGGTTATAATCACATTTTGGATACACAGTTGACTCCCACATATCTGCCCACCCTCACCTGTGGGAGTGGGTTATACCTAGCCAAGGAGCTCTGGTCCGGGCCACGGAGGGGGGGTGGGGTGTGTGTGTGTGTGTCGGTCGGTTCCAGAGGGTGCGGTGGCCCAGGCTGCGGACGCGTCTGCTGCTTATCCAGCGCCCTCAGTGTCTCCCTCAGAGGCTCGGACAGGACAGGCAGAGGGGGCTCCGCTGTTTTCGGTGATAAACCTAAGTTCAGGCGTCCCTTGAGTGTGGCCTGGGTTGAAGGACAACAGTGTTTTGCTGGTCAGTCCTCTGTAAGCTTCTGTGAGCCGCTTTTTCGTGTCAGGAGAGGCCACTTGGTTCCCTCCACGCGCCAGCACTTTCGAGGGAATCGCAGCCTCTGCCACCCTCTCTCGGAGTATTTTCCCGCAGGACCTGCAGTCAGTGGCCTCTTGGTCTTGTTAGCTTTGGGGCACTCAGTCTGACTCCATCTTTTCTCTGAGGAGGAGGGCTGATGCTGCAGAACAGAGGCTTTAGACAGTGTTGAGGTGTCTAGACAATCGAGGTGACATGAGAGAAAATAAGGGGGATTGTATTGAGGGCAATTGTTTTAATTTATTGTAATTCACAGGTTAGGTTAGTTGGTATAAATCTATTCGTGTTTCTGTTGAGATGGTAATATATATCCCCCCAAACCAGTGCACTGGGCCTCCTTTATCAGTGGGTTTAGTGATTTGTGCTGTTTTCTCAGCAAATGCTGAACCTACCCAAGTGAGGCCTAGTTTTTGGCCAGTGGGACCTAGGGTGTGGGCTTTTAAGGTGAATGGTGGTGAAGTGTGCAGTTCCAACTGGAGTCAGTTAGCTGCCGAGTATTCCTAATCCTAAACCTCTGGTCAGGAGCAGCTCTGACCAGCTGAGCCCAGGAGTTATTTATTGGTGCAGAGAGGTAACTGAGGCAGAGAGGGAGAGAGGTGAGAAAAGAGGGCAGGTTGGGACTGGAGTGAGATGTTTCAGATACTGCTCTCCTGTCACCTACTCTTTAATGTAGCAGACCACAGAGTGAAATTCAAAGGTGTTGGAGAGAAAGGGCAAGCAACTGTGTTGCGTGACTCTATTGAGAGACCAGCACTTTTGTAAATCTTCAACAAATGTAAGCTCCCTGAGGGCCAGAAAGATGGTCTTGTTCACTCTTGTAGCCGCAACTCAGCATAATCACTGACTCACAGTGTTTTTGGTTGAATGATGTTTATCCAAATCATGACTGTGAAGCAACAGAAAATGGAATTTTTTTTTTTAAAGAAAAGATGTTAAGGTAGCCAGTCTGACATCATTTCAGGATTCATTTCTGGGTAACTGGTTATTTGCTTTAATCTTTTCACTTTTTTGTTGTTGTTGTTGTTGTTGGTGAAGAAGACTGGCCCTGAGCTAACAGCTGTTGCCAGTCCTCCTCTTTTCACTGAGGAAGATTGGCCCTAGGCTAACATCCGTGCCCATCTTCCTCTATTTTATGTGGGACGCCTGCCACAGCATGGCTTGATGAGTGGTACATACATCCGCGCCTGGGATCTGAACCTGTGAACCCTGGGCTACCTAGGTGAGCACGTGAACTTAACCACTACGCCACCCGGCCGGCCCCTATCTTTCACATTTTTAAATTCTCAGTGGATGAGATAAGAGTCTGATCTGGTGTATTTGATATTTCAGTGAATTTTCACAACTACTTGGGGTATAATTGTTGTTATATTTATTATGACCCCAGTTTCACAGACAAGGATGCTGAGAACTCAGAAAACTTAATGACTTGCCCAAGGTCTTACAGCTAGTAGGTGTGGCAGCTTCTGTTTTCACGGCCTCCAGAGCCTTTGCTCTTTTCACTGTGCCAGGCTGTGTCCCTATTTCCATCAAGGCTACTTTTCTCAGAGTACACTGCTTGCTTTAGAGTTGTTTTATTAGCTCAAAATGTTCCCAATGTTTGGCTTTCCTAGAGGACCTCTTTTCTTTTTAGGTGAAAGGGCCATAATGGACGCCTCTCCACTAGCCTGTGTACAAATGGTCATAGAAATCCCACTGGCAATCTTTAATTTGTGGGAAATGTTCAGTTGCCATTTCCTGTGGAGAAAGTGTTACAGCCAGCTGTTTACTGTGCCTGAGTCCATCTCCAGCCTTTCCTCTGAAAGCAGGAGAGAGAAGTGGGTAGAGTTCTGAAGAAGGCTAGGAGACCAGAAGAACAATTGCAAATGTATGTGTGAGTTACACATTTTGTTGTTCAAAAGCTTAAATTACAATAGTTCGATTTGGGAAAGAAATACAACAATCCTGGTAGACTTTTCTAAGGTCAGCGAGCCTGCCCACTTGTGCAGAATTGGGCTGGGAGCCTCCATGACTTCCTGGGGCAGAGGCAGTAGGTAGGCCTTTGCAGGTGGTGTTTAGGTGCACATTATACATCGAGACTTCTCTTTGTGTTGCTCTTGCTGCTCAGGGTACTTTTTTAGATGGTGGATAACAGTGCATCCTTGACCTGCTGCTTTCTCAGGGGCTGTTGCACAGAGCCCTGGTGATTAGAAAGAGCATCCCTCCAGTCAAATGTTATCTAACAAGAAGACACCCAGAAATTTTACTTTGATATATTCTGGAGGATTGTGACCACATTAACTATTACTTTCTTTCCTGAGTTAGTTCTCTCACCATTACTGTACAAGACTGTCACAATTTCTGAGCTAGAATGACCTAAAAGTAATCAAACAGAAAAATAAGGCCTCAAAACCATAGGAGGATGTCTTATTGATCAGGAAATTCAAGTGGAATTCTCGTGGTTTTTAGCCAGACTGCTGTATTTTTCTAAAATAGCAAATGTCAACAGAGAAGTGCATGCCTTCTGTTGTGCTGTGTGGAGCCGTATGGGGCCCTCCCTGACCCTGCTTTGTCTTCCTTCTCTGCCTTCATCAAAGGGCACCAAGTGACTAGATGAAAAATGCCAAATTACTCAACCCAGGAAGCTGGCTTTTTGCATGAAAACACAGTCAGAAAAGCACTCTTGTCCCTTTACCTCTGATGAATCGAACATATTTGGAAGTATTCAGAAATTAAGGTGAGCAGTTGAGTTCAGTTATCCAAAGGCCTTTGCTTCTTTCTTAAACCAAACCCAGGCCCGTTTCTTAATGATGAGGACTCGTACTAGATGCTGCTTGTGAGTTTGCTCCCTGCCCGCCTGCCAGCACTGTGCTTTGCTTGAGTGCTCTGAGACAATCAGACAAGCCGTAGTGCTCATTGTGAACATATTAATTATGTTCTTTGTTTCCACAGGCTTTCCAAGAGGATTTACTCACTTTGAGTTTGTTGGCCTATTTTGAAAATGCTTTTCACGTTACTGGTGATGCACTCACAAGACCCGCCTGCCTGCCCCCAAAGAGTGTCCTGCAAAGTGCTGACATCCTGCAGGCCGGGCGAGGGTTGGTGTGGGGAAAGGCTGCTTATTTTTGCTCTGGTTTATCAGTTATTTCATAAAAATTACTTTTGGTTAAAACAAAAGAAGTCGGTGCTAGCTGTAAGAGCAGATAAGCAGATAATGTTGGATTCTTTGTGAGGAATGATTTCCTAAGGGAGATCATTGGTGAGGTCGTTTTGGTTTTCTAGGTGCAGTGCATCACCACTGGTCCAACCTTACCATCCTGTTTCTCCCCCGAGATTGTCTTTGGAGTTTCAAGCTCTGAAATGGTTTTGTTAAATTTGGCTGCCTAGATTCCAGGTGGTCAGCGTCACCTGGAGGAGGGGACACTCTGAGGCAAGACTAAGCAGTTGTCAGCAGCTGAAGGGCTTCAGCTCCTCCCTGCCTCCCCTGCCCCCTGCCCCTCCTCCCTTTCTGTTGGAAGGGTTAGAGTGAACTGTTCTTTCCTGACATCTCACGTTCCACACCCATTCTTTATTCAGCCGGTGGAAGAGTGGCTGTAATAATCTTAGGTGGCAAGATAATGGAGACCAGGGCCCACGGCGCCCTTCAGCTGCTGGGTGAACTGTCCCCTGGTAAACAATGGCAGCAGCCCCTGTGTCTTCTTAGCTACAGCTGGGACTCTGCAGAGAACACTTCCATTGTCCGGTGGGAAGTAAGGTGGATTATTTGTATTATTACAACAGACAATAGTTCCTGTTTGTAATTCCCAGAAGATGGAATTATCGCATCAGTGGCCAGATGACTGCTCCTACTGTCCAAATTGGGTCTATTTAAGGAGGGGTTATTAAAATAGAAGTAGTTATTAACTTTGGGTTTTTAAAAGGAGATTAAGATTTGAATACAATTGTCAGTCTGATAAAGAGTTTTCATCACTTATACATACTATGAGAGCATGGATTCAGTTTTTATTTTATGTTTGTGGATAAAACTATTCTCATAAAGGTTTTCATCGTAACATTTCATTTGAATCTTGGTTTACTCTGGCGCACACATGGTCCCTCATTATTTCTCTAATTTGGCATATGTAGTAAGGTTGATTGGTTATCTGCAGGGAGAGGGGAATAGGAGAGCTTCACGCTACTTCAAGATTTCATTTTATATGCTAAATTAGAAAAGTATATTTAATTAAAACTAGATTAGCTTTTCAATGAGATAATGATCTAACATTTAAGTATCTGACAGATCTGATGTTAATTCAATATAAAACTTGATTAAGGGCAATTTTTTTTCTTATTAATTTCTGTGTATAAAAAAACAACAGGAATTTTTCACTTTTACTTACTATGTTTAAATTATATCTGCCAGAAACATAATGTGTTCTGCTTGATTTGGTCTTAAACATTTAAATGGCAGACATCTTTAAGGTTCTTTAATATAATGTTTTCTAAATTAGAGCATGCTGTCAGAAAATTATTATGTTAGTTTGAAAACACTATTCATCATGACCCTGATCTGAATAATCACAGTTTTTGCTTTTCAAACGTCTGCTGCCAGCTCACATGGTTTATAATTTGCTTTTCTTGTAACTTCTTTTCACTGAACCTGAAAATTGCTTTTTTCAAGGCTCTATGAAAAGAGTTGAAACACTGGCCTCCTCCCATCTCCACAACAGACTAGTGTTGGAAAGCCATTTAAAATTTCAGAATCTCAATTTCCTCATTTTATTTTATTTTATTTTATTTATTTATTTTTTTTTAAGATTTTATTTATTTTA